TGGCTCTTTCTGTGTCTGTGGCCCAGTCCCTTCCTGGCATGGTGTTTTGCAAGGCTAAACCTTATCCTATACACAAACCCAGACTGTGGACAAGATTTAGGTGTCCCTATCTCACTCTGCTGCTCATAGTTCTGCTGTGTTAGTAGGAGAAAGCTGGACTCCTATACAAAGTTACACACACATACACACACAGGCATACACATGTGTGTGCACACTCCCTGCTGTGTGTGGATCAACCGATAGTGTGTAATGGGCTTTGCTATTAGTTGGAGCTTCCTGCGGAGTCAACTGACTCTGTCTCTTTTCGGATGATGAGACCCCATAGCTTCCCCAAGGAAGGAGAGAACAAAGGTATCTGGTGGGGAGCATCCCCAGTGTCCCTCTGGGCTGTCCACAAGCCATGCAGCTTTGTATTTGAGATATGTCCTCCTCAGATAACAGGACAGACACAGCCAGATCCTATGTAGTCCTCACACCTGCCCAAGTCACCCTGACACAGAAATAATGAAAGGCTGACTTCTTCAACCTAGGGGTGTCTAATGTCATTTTGGTGTGTGGTGTGAGGCAGGGATTTAATTGGTGCTATGGCCTTTCTGAGGAGTCCTCTTTCCTTCTGGCTCCTCCTGCTCATGCCCCCCAGTGGAGAGCTCAGTAGGAGGGAAAAAATGAGATCTAGCCCGGCATAGTGGTGCAGGGCTGTTATCCTAGCACTCTGGGAGGCTGAAACAGGAAGATCCTGGGTTCCAGCCCAGCCTGAGCAACTTAGTGTCTTAATGAGATCCTACCTCGAAATAATAAAAAAGGGACGGGGATATGGTGAGGGGGCCCTGGGTTTAAGCCATAGTATAGGGGTTGGAGAGAGAGAGAGAGGCAGAGAGAGAGAGAGAGAGAGAGAGAGAGAGAGAGAGAGAGAGAGAGAAAAGCCCCTTGTATCACAAAGTGGGGGTGATTTCCACATCTCCACTGTGACTTTCTTAGACAGCCCAACCTTCTGATTAGTAAATCAGAATGCCTTTCCTATACTCCGAATTTAGATAAAGGTACTTTTAAAAGCTTGATGGTTAATGTTTTGGGGCAATGATTGAAGAAAATCAAAAAGGGGAAGGGTCCCAAACTCATGAAAATATGACAAAAATGACTTTGATTATAAGGGACATTCAACACATCATCTTCTGGGCCTGGGAGGAAATGTGGGCACATTGTTTCATACAAGAAGCCCAGCACATAGGCAAGAAAGCAGGGTGGTCCTCAGCTACACCCATGGAATGCCCCCCTGGGGTGAGCAGGGTGACCGTGGCTGGAGCTTGGGGGTGAGGCGGGGTGTACAGGAACTCAAAACCAAAATGCGCAATGGCACCAACCTATGACTTCCATGGTGCAGCCCTGCAGGCGTCTCCTCCAGCTGTGGAGATGAGGGCCAGGGCGGTCACAGGATGGCCAAGTTCACTTCTGAGTGAGCAGCTGGCCCATGACAATGACCCCTACTTCCTGGCCCCTGGCCTCTGAGTTAAGCAACATCACCATCATTTGCCAAGGGGAAACTGAAGCTCAGAGGCAGGGAGTGATTTGACCAGAATCACCAGCTGAAGAGAGAGCCAGGGGTGCTGACCATCCAGCCCTCGTCTGTGGGGAGCCTGGGTTCGTGGGAGCTTCATACCCAGCAGCCCCAGCCAGGTGGCACCTGCCCCTGCTCTGCCCTTCCACCAAGGGCCGGAGCAGCCTGCAGGAAGGCCGAGCCACCCCTGAACCCAATCTCCTCCTGTTCTCTCCCCAGGGCCTGGGCTTCAGCATCGTTGGGGGACAGGACAGCATTTATGGCCCCATTGGGATTTATGTCAAAACCATTTTTGCAGGCGGAGCAGCGGCAGCTGATGGCAGGCTACAAGAAGGTAGATCCCCCATTCTTCTGAGACCAAAAGAAGAGTCCAGAGTTGCTAGGTGTAAAAGAGACCCAGGCTGCCAAACGTGTCTTGAACCTTTAGAATTCAGCTTCCAGGTGCCCTGGCTCCCAAGGGCTGGGTTGTGAATGGCTACCTGTGTCCGATGTGGTCACCTTTCAGCTGGTGCAGTGGCCTTCCTGGGATGAGGGACTGGGGAAGGGAGCTGCTTGTCTTCTTGTCCCAGGGGCAGGGCACCCCACTTTCAGTCTGTCTCATGTCAGGTATTAGGCCTGGCCTGGGGGTTCTCTGGGTTTCCTAGGAGGGCAGGGAGTTGGCAGCAGAGGCCAGGGTGGCTTTGGTCTGAGGAGTGGCAGTTTCCCAGGTCCCACGCTCCTCCACTGCTCCATGTTGGGCAACATGCACGCATGGCGACATGTAAAGGGTACTCTCTGTGGGAATCCAGCTTGACCTGGGCAGGGCGGATGGAGCACAGCCCAGGCCCAGCCTGAGCCTGCCTCTTGTCATGTAACTCAGCAATGAAATAAGGTTCCTGCAGTTCCACATGACTCAAGGATACAAAACTAGTTTCTATTCTTCCGATGAGGGCACACTAAATGAAGCTCCAGGTCTTGTGTCCTCTAAGAAGCTTTACTGTTTTTAGTGTCCCTAGCCGCATGGCTTCATTTCTTTTTTAGTTAAGCTTATTGGTACATTTTAGATATACATGATGATCGTATTTACTGTGGGGAATTTGTACCTGTGCCTGACATATTTTGATTTCTCTTTCCCCCCAATATTCTCTCCTCCCTTCAGCTCATCTCCCTCTTTCTTTCATTTTAACCTTTCTAAATCTTATTTTTTTTCCTCTTCCATCTTTTTTCCCTCCCCACCCTAGTTCTTCTTTCCTTTTGAATAGTTTCTTCCTATATTTTACAGTATCTATTGTACATTTTCATCCTTATTTACTCATTCAGTTTCTCACACCAGGGAGAAACATTCTTCAAATTCCTTTGAAACCAGAAGAGACCTAGAATCGCAAAAAGAATTCTCAGCAACAAAGCCAAGGCAGGGGATGTTACAATTCCTGACTTGAAATTATACTACAAAAATTTACCGTGAGGGCCTGGGGAGATAGCTCAGTAGAATAAGCAATTGCCTGGCAAGTGCGGAGTCTTGGGTTCAATCCCCAGTACAAAAAAAAAAAAAAAAAAAAGTTACCATGACAAAAACAGCATAGTACTGGCAGTAAAACAGACCTGGGGACCAGTGAAACAGACTAAAAGATGCAGAAGCAGCTCCACATTCAGCCACCTCGTCTTTGGCAAAGGAGACAAACATATTTACTGAAAGAAAAATAGGCTTTTTAATAGATGGGGCTGGAAAACTTGGATTTCCACGTGCCACAGACTAAAACCAGACTGATGTCTATCACCACGCACTAGGCGAAAATCAAAATGGATCAAAGATTTAGATACTAAAACAGAAACACTAAATTTGCTGGAAGAGAGAATAAGCAGAACTCTTGAAGACAGGAATAAGCAAATATTTCATGAACAAAATCCCAATTGCATGGAAAATTATACCAAGAATAGCTAGGATCTTATCTTATTAAAAAGAAATCACCAACAGTGTGAAGACATAATACATGAAGTGGGAAAATTTTTAGCTAGTTGTCCTTCAGACAAAGGACTTACATCAGAATGTATAAGGAATTGGGAAACAAACAAACAACAACAACAACAAAAAAAAAACAAAACAAAAAAACCCAGGACTCTCTACTCTAAAGACCCAGTCCAAAAGAAGCTTCATTCCTGAGGGTCACTGAGCTCCTGCCTCACCTGGATGCTGAGCCTCTAACAGGGCGAGGTGGTGCCCGCCAGCCTTGGGCAGAATGAGCCAGCAGTTTCATTGCGGGGTTGGGGCACCCCGAAGCTTCTATCCTAAGGGAAGACTCGGCTTTGGGGTGTGGGGAAGCCCAGCAGGTGCAGCCGATGGGGCAGCCTGGTGACGCAGGCTGGGAGCTCCAGCTCTCATGGCTGCCCGGGGACATCATGTCCTGAAAGGAGATGGGCAGAACAGGGAAGGGACAGAGCTCAGCAGAGGCTCAAACGAAGGAGAAATGGAGGCTTGTGGCCTTGGTCAACTGGAGAGAGATGCCTGGTGCAGAGAAGAGGGGAGGGACGGGAGGACGCCGGAGAGGTTCAGCTTGGAGGGGCAGAAGGGAGTGAGCGCCGGCGACCACGAGGTGGCGCTGTCCGGAAGGCTGGTGAACATCTGGGCCCAGCTGAGGGTTGGAGGCCCGAGGGGCCACGGGAGCACTGGGGAAGTGGCTGGAATCCCCACTGGAAGAAAGAAGGAGGGAAGCAGGCTGGAGGCCAGGGAGGCCGGCGAGAGGAGGAGCCGTGGAAGAAGGAGAGGATGCCTTGGTTCCTGTATTAGCTTTTGTGCTTTTCTGGCTAAACAGAGGGCAGGGAGGGGCTGAAGCAGCAAGAAAGGAGAGTGTTGTGTTTTGTTTTCTTTCCTCAACACTAGTTTTCTCAAGTCGAGCTTCATTTTGTTGTTGTTGCTTTTTGTTTCTTCTGGGTATTTATCTTCTTTAGTTAACGGCAATCATAAAAATGAACAATTTCTATGAGCCAAAACTTTCTCCTAATACATAACGACAGTTCTAGTCTCAAATAAGAGGCCAGATGGCCTTTCATAACTTAGTTCTCAAGTAAAATTTTCAAAGCTCCTTTTGGGCTCATGGGAGGATATGTTGGTTGCAACAAAAGTTTGTTGTACACATGATTTTATTGATGATTTATTTTTCTTCTTCCACAAAACGATTGTGTAAGATGTATTTGGCAAGACACAGGCCGATTTTCACCAGATGTGGACGAGTAAGGAGAGGCCAGGAGAGCCTGAAGCCTGCCCTGTTGGGAGGGATGTCCTAAGAATGTGCCAGGAAGTTCCGCCCGGGTGTGACTGCATGCGGACATCCTGAAGAGTTTCCTTTGTCTGCCTCTCTCCTCGCCCCTGGACTTGGAGTCTCCAAAGGACAAGGGCTCTTTGCTTCCCGCAGCTGCCACTCTGAATACTCCCCACCAGACTCCTGGCTGGCACATAGATGTGCTGGCTGAGACAGCACATCTAAGCTCAAAGAAAGAAAGGGAGACACCCCGTTGAGAGAAAACTAAGAGATAGCTTTACTTCTAAGTGTGGCAAGCTCCAGCTGGTGTCACGACAGTCCCTTCGAGGCAGGGATGAGAACTTGAGTAACCACATAGCTATGGGGGACAAGGCCTTGGGTCCGTGTGAAGTACTGAGAACCCACACAAAGCCTTGATTCAACACATACCGCCTTCGGGGAAGCCTAGGAGACCCCAGGGAAGGCTGTGACTTTGCCTAGTATTTTGTTCATGATGCTTGAGTGGGGAAGACAATGCTCATGAAAAGTAAGTATCAAAGCCTGTGTCCTGTGTGAGCGTGTAGCTCACACTTGTAGACTCTAAAGAGGATCTGAATACAAGCTGGGAAACCAATATCATATCTAATCCTGAGCCTGGGAAGCCTTGGTGTGCCAAGAAGAAATGAAAAGAGAACTGCTAGAGACCCAGGGTCTATGGGAATCCCGTATTAAAACAGAAATACTCCGAGAAATGGGTTCACAGTGAAGAATCCAGACAACATCTGAAGATGCCATCATGCGGGGTGATGAGCAGAGCTAAGGGGGGCACGCTGATCCTCAGAAACAGGAGGTGAAGTAAAAGAGACCAGAGAGTTACTATGCTTAGAATCATATTTTAAACAAAATTAAAATGAACCATATTTAAATGGCAAAAGAAAAAAATATAAACTATAAACAAAGAACACAATGAAAAGCTATGTAAATTGAACAAAGGTAACTTCTGGAGAAAATATTTTGATAAGCATGGTCATTAAAACAAAAAACTTGGGGCTAGGGAGACAGCTTAGTAGAATAAGCACTTGCTTGGTAAGCACAAGGGCCTGAGTTCAATCCCTGGTTCCACCAAAAAAAAAAAAAACAAAACACCTCAATGACTAGGTTAGGCAGCAGATTAGATGTAGCTAGAGGAAGAATTAGTGAACTGGTTGACTATGCAAGGCAAAAAGGAAAAAGGTGTGCTTTAAAGAAACATGGGGAACAGTCAAGAAGACCCCCAATAATATGCCTAACAGGAATTGTAGAAAACTGAGCTCAGTGAGATGAGAGAGATTGTGTACAAAGAGACAGTGATTCAGAGTCATCCACATTGATTTAAGGTGTGGAGCTACAGGCAAAGGGAGCACCAGGAGTTTCCTTTGTCCAGTTACATCATAATGAAACTGGAGAATATGAAAGAAAAAGGATCTTAGAAGCAACCAGAAGGGGAAATGGGCTCTAGAACTGGATCCATAAAGAGTGAGAGCAGATTCACTGTTGGCCAGGGGAGTCTTCGTGAAACGTGTTCACACCTGAACTTCCCAGCACAGTGTGGAACACAGAGAAAGTGCCTGGCTTGTGTACTGAGTAAACCGAGTGAATGGGAGGACTTGGTTTTCAGTCACATACAAATGGATTTTTCTTTTTGTTGGCTTGTTGGTTTGTGGGTTGGTTATTTTGTGGGGGAGGGGTGTAGTGTCAGGAAATTTTATTTGAACATTCTGCAGCAGCAGCTTTAGATGTTCCAGACAGGATTTTAAAAATTATATATTTTTAAATTACAAATATAGCTCCTGTAGGAATTTCAGAAACAGAAAAGAAACAAGGAAACAACCTTCCCCCCAAAACAAGTACGACACACACATTTGAAGAAACCCCAATATTTTATGAGTGGTGGGCAATACGCAAAAAGCTACCCCAATTTACACATTTCTCCAATAATAATCATCAGAACAAAGCACTCCTCAGTCAAACTGTGTATCCAAGTGCATTTGGAAATCTACAACCATATTTCACATTACTTACTATTGCATGCAGTTATTATTCACCCCCTTGATTTCTAATAATTTTCATGTAAGTTCTTCATTCATCCCCTCCCCCCAACGTAAGACCAGCTTGGAAGAGGATGACAATCACTTTAGACATTCAGTAAAAATGTACTTTACCTTAAAATGTTTAGTAAAAGCAAATCTCTTTTTCATTTACCACTTTGTCTTCTAATTGTGCAGTAAATTTCACTGTAGAGAAAAAATCTTCATCTTCAGAATGCATCTTCTTTGGGTAGAATCAGGATGTAGCTGGATAATTTTAAGATAAATGGGAAGTTGTTTTAACTAAGATGACAGAGGATATATTACACAGGGTATTTTTAAATTGTTTTGAGCAGTTGGAATTTGGAAGAAAAAAAAAAAAACAACACCACCACAACTAAACCTAAGACAGATCAAGAAGAAACCAGATTCAACATATAAAAAAGTTGTACAATAAGTCGACAATGGCAGCAAAATTAAGAGAGAAAAAAGTAATCTTTCTGGAACATCATTTTGCAATAACATAGAAACACTAAAAGCCAAAAATATTTCTCTTTTTAGCATCCAAGTTTCCCTCTATTTATTTTATTAGAACAAATACTTTAAACAAACAATTTGTTCTTATTGAAGCCCGATGATCTGTTTCATCCTTCCTGAGCTGGCTTTGGGGAAGATCAGCCACATGCTGTAGAGAGGTCTACTGCACAAATCCAAGTGCGTGTTGCAACTGTTGGAGAAAGTGGCCAGTGAGAACCCGTCGTGATCGATGAAAATAGATATTACTGGAAGCCATCCATGAAAGAGATACCCTTGCAGCCTCTAGGGTGAAGCTCATAAGCTCCACCGCTTTGAAAGAGAAATTGATCCAAAGTTCCAGGTTTTCTTGGGCCTCTAATCAGATTTCACATTAGTATAGACTTTTTGGACAAAGTATTTGTTCCCATGTAACCAATTGCTCCACCCATTATGCCCAAGGCAGTGCTAAATAGCATGATATATCCAAAGTAAAATGTTGTTTGCCATAAGCCATGTGTCTTTGTTCTGAAAAATAATTGTGGTAAAAGGAATACACATAGAGATAGATTGCAACTGATGCAGCTGAGAGAAAAGGTATCCACTGGCACCTGTAACCCTCTGCATTTAGTAGGAAGGGGTGCACACGATGGCCACACTGATGGTCACAATGCACAAGGTGACCAGCACCAGCATCGTGAGGCCACAGACATGCTAGATCTTCTATGCCCAGAAAGAGGTAGAGGAAATACATTCCAATGAAGATTGAGCCAAAAGGTAGAATGCTTCCCAGGCAAACAGTCGCTGCAGGCTCCATGGCCATTTTTTCTTTGGTATAAAATGAGGCACAGCATGGCCAGGACAGGGGACTCGGGCTGACCTGATGGATGTTGGCCAAGTATTGCACCAAGACTTGGAGGAAGAGTAACAAAATGAAGGTGCAACAAGCGCCACCATTGTTCCAAGAGGAATGGCTCTTGAAGCCTGGTAGCAAATGGCTACAAAGCTGATGAAGGCAGTGCTACACACCATAGTGGGGATAAGAAATTTCCCAGTAAACACCTGCTTTATCTATTCTCTTCCTCCCTGTCTAATATTTTGACTGCCTCCACAATATCTTTCCCCTGGAGATGTAGAAGTGTAGACGAATAGGGTGATAATGAGAGATGATTTCTCTCTGTATGTGAATCGATCATCACAAAAATAGTGAGTGACACAGATAGTAGTTGGCATACCCAGGAAAGTGGAAAGCACATTAGTGACTTGATGGCTCACACCTATTGCCATCCATCTGCTTGCATCCACAGTCATTGCCTCAGTCTCTATCCACATTTCCTATTCCTGCCTCTTTACTGTACCAGGCATAATCTTTTCTTAAAGGTCTCATTAAAATCATTGAAATTAAGATCATCACCATGTTGGAGTTGAAAACCAATGAATCATTGTTGAACAAAGGACGCATCAAGATACATATCAACTTGATCTTCAGATTTTACATCTGACCTTTCTAGTTTACTGAATACGACATCCATATTTTAGTGCTGAGAACCAGATTCACCTTTCTTTTATGAGTTAGATTAATGTTGACAATTCAATTTTCAATAAAACTATTTCAAGTTTTTTATAGATCCCAGATAGTACTCTTCCCCTCTTCTGCTTCACCAGCAATGCCCCATATAGCTAAGTCATGTGTACATCTCGTACAAGTAGTGGTTATTGATGGCATGCACGAATGCATGTCCCATCTTTATTTAAGCTGATTTCACAGCAAGTGGCTGACATCATGTTACCTTTAAATTTAATGTCCAGACCACTGAATTCCAATTCAACACCTTGAAGTGCTTCTCTGAGAGTTTTATGCTAATGAGTGATACTTTCTTTGAACCTACAAAGAATGAAAGGAAAAATACTTGTATATATCTTGGAAATTATGGAAGGACCCAACACTATTCAGCCACAGGACAATTTCCTCTTTATCTTGCTACTTGACTTTTTGTTGTTGTTTGCACCTCGTGGCTCTAACCCTATCTGGGCATGAAGGAGAGAAGAGAAGGCTGGAGAGAACCACACAGTTGTGGCTGTTCCCTGTTGACATCCCCTTCCTGGGGCCCATCCTGCAGCATGGTGCAACCCAGTTCTCCCCAAGCCTGTCCAGGACCTCACAGCCAGGGGCACAGACCCTGCCCTGGGAGCTCACAGAGACCCAGCAGGCCTGACTAGGAGGGAACCTTGGCCAAGGAGGGGTGCACCCAAAAATAGACCTCAGGACTGACAAACACATTACTTTCCTATGAGTATAGACTCAGTGTCAAAAAGTCCAAATCCTAAATCCACGTGACTGGGACCTTCTCTGAGTCCCCGTCTCCTCTTCTGTGAGTAGGGGCTACACTGCATTCTGGGAAGACCGTATCCAGCCCACATCTAATGAGCACTTTGTAGACCTTACCAGAAGTTGGCCCCGGGGACTTTTCTTGTAGTATGTCAGAGTCTACTTCCTCACAGAGCAGCTGGCTTAGGGGCTGCAGGTCACTGAGCAGCTCCCATGGTGGGCATAGGAGCAGTGTGATAGCAGCAGGGGCTGAAGATTAAGAAGTTGGGTGAGGGTGGTAGGAGAAGCACATTTTAGTGGAGAAAGCATCATGGTTCCTCATGGAGCTGCAGACAATGGGGGGAAGTTCAGGTTGGGTTGCGTGAGGGTGGGATATGCAGGAGCAGACGGTGAGGGTCCCGGATGGATGGAGTAAGGCAGGGACCAGAGCCACCAGGCCTTGATCTCAGCGGAGAGATGCCAGGTGCCTGAGGGTCATCTTCGCTGCCTGAGGGTCTCTCGGGGAGAGCATGGGGTGAGAGAGTGGCCTTCCCAGGGTGGAGCTCAGGTAAGGACAGTGCCTAGTCACCAGTACCATCCTTAGCTGCTATGTCTCCCTCTCCCAACAGGTGATGAAATTCTGGAACTCAATGGTGAATCCATGGCCGGGCTCACGCATCAGGGCGCTCTGCAGAAGTTCAAGGTGACTGTTTCTCATCCATGTGAGGCCAAATCCAGGGCCTGCAGGGCCAATGCATCCCCCTCCCTGCAAACCCACAGGGTTCCTCATGTGGTCACCCAGATGATACTGACTGGGGGCACAGTGGTAATAAAAGAACTTATTGAGAAAATAGTAATGAAATCAGGATTGCTGTTGAGAATATTTAGACCATTGAAGATGTACAGAGCTGGGCCGGCGACATAGCTCAGCAGA